AGGGTAACTCTGAAGTGCCTTTTTTCCCTCCACCTGAACCAATCCTCATGTAACCCCTCTTATCTCTATTAAGGTAGCGCGACTCAGGGTTGCAAATGACCACAGTCACCAATTCTTGTCATGTGTCTTGCCCGTGTATGTCTGATCTCTGAATTGTGTGTACTGAAACTCTAATTTATCTCTAGGATTAATAAAATATCTTTGATTTGATTGCTGTCTACTTCAGATAGCTTTTATTACAGTTTGTATAATAATCATTAATAGGATTTCACTCTTCTGTCCGGCGTGGCACCTGGACTTGTTGATCATGTGACATGTCCCACCTCCACCTTTGCACACTTTGTCCTTTTAGAGTTTGCTCATGTCCTCATGCTCATAAATTTATAGCTGGCCTCAGGCATGGACAGAACAACCTCCCGACTGGTTCAACAATACACTTTACAAATGTTTGGTTCTATTAAATTACTGCAGCACAGACCCATGCTTCCAGTCAGACACGTTATATAAATAACCGCCTGATACTGGAAAGAGCGTTGATAGGATGGAAAAAAGAAGACAAAGCAGGTGTGAGAACAAAGTAAATGAAACTAAAGTGAGCAGTCAGGTGGTGTTGGATATAAAATAGCCACGGCAAATTAAGAAGAAAACCAGCCAAATTAAGGCATGGGGATTAAAGAGATATGGATGGATTTAGTATCCCTGGTGAAAATTGCATAATGAAGGGCATGGAGTTGGATTGTGCTGCATTTCACGTGCAGTACATGTAGAAGAATACATTTAGACTTAATTTATTATTGATTTATAGAACAAACTCATTAAAATACCCAGCACCTGAAACCATAAAGGGAAATAATTAAAACATAATCTCACAAAAATGCAGTATTCTCTCTTTTGAAAACTCAAACTGGCTCAGAATCAGACACATTGAGCTGTTCCAGATGTTAGGAACTGACAGAGGATTCAAGTCCTCTCTGAAGCTCTAATCTGCAAAATCGGGACTTTAAACTCATTTATATATTAAAATTGCAAAATTTCTACTCTGTATTGTGAGATGTAAAAAACAGACTTCACGTTTAAAAATATGTATTAAGTTTGTATGAAAGTGCTCTTCAGCAACTTTCCCAAACACACATAGACATTAAAGTTTGATACCAAAACAAACATTTATAAATCCTTTAAATATTAATAAATATTGTCCTCTTACATTTATTGAAGCAGTGGGTGAACATCTGTGGTAAGATCCAAGCAAACACAAAAAAATAATCCAATCAGGGACTGATTATGCAACTTTTTTTTCATGTGCAATGGGTACAGAAAGAATGTTGTCCATACGAACTGCATTACGGTCAGGGTGGTGGGAAGAAAATACAGTGGAAGGATGGGGGGATAAACTGTCTGAAACTGTAAAAAAATAAATAAATAATAGTTAAATCTCTGGAAGCCTGTCTCAGTCGTTTCTGGAATGAAACGGGATGAAATTGAGAAAGAAAGGGGGCTGAAGGAATAAAGGAAATTAGTAACGTAATCCACGGCAGGATCAAAAGAGTGCGATTGGATTTTATTTTGTTGCATCACGGCAAATGATAGATGTTTGAGATCAAAGGCAGTGATTTTCAGCGGGAGAATATGGAGATGCATTATTGAAGATGGAACAAAGCATGTGTGTGTGTTTGTGTGAGTGTGTGTGTGTGCATGTGCGTGTGTGTGTGTGTGTGTGTGTTCTTGTGAGAGGGATCGTATTTTATGTCATAACTTGGGAAACGTAGCCTCTTTTATTCAGCAGGGCAGTGTAATCCAACCTGGGCCTCCTCATTGTGTCTTTATTTGTTTGATTTCAAGGCAGGGACTTACAATTAAGCCAATCTGGAAACGAGATCGGGCTGTGACTGATGATAATTACCTGCTGTCTACACCATTAAGAATTTAATGTAATTTCAGATAGACGTTCCTGGAAGGGGGTAAAAGGGTGAGCTGGGTTTGCAAGGGCGATAATGGAGCTTTGCCTGCAGAGCTGAGCATTTTGTCTCTGTGTGTCTGTATACACACCATATTAAATGCCTCTGTTTTAAGCTTGGTCGCCCTTACAAAGTCCATTCTGTTCCGGTTTGAAGATTTCAAACTGAATGTCAGAAGGATTATTGTTGATGGGGATCAGTCATGTCAAGGAAAAGCTGTGAAGTGTCCATGTCTGGGTAACTCCCCCTCTCAGTCCCAGCTGTTTCCAGTCTCATAAAGCCCAAAGCAGGAGTCCTCAAATGAATCAGATATCAAAGAATTATCTTAAAGATTAAAAACCATTCAAGTCAAGGTTGAAGATCCTGTTGAGGAGCAGGTCTGTTAGAGGAATAAATGGATCGAGTTACTGTTTGACATCGCGGAGACAGGATGCAGAAAGAAAGTCTGTAGAGCTGCTGATGTGAGCAGATTTATAAACACCCAGATAAGGGATTTTTAGACAGTGTTTACCACCATTAGAGAGCTTTCCAGAAAATGTTTGGTGACCAGGCAAACTTCCATTTAACATTACGTTCAAGTCAAAAGTGATAAATCATAAACTTCACACACACATGTGTGCACTCGCACTGCGCACAAATATATATTTCTTTATTTTCTGCCTCAGCAATGTCTGTTGCTAATACAGAAATGCTTCTACACACACACACACACACACACACACACACACACACACACACACACACACACACACACACACACACACACACACACACACACACACACACACACACACACACACACACATGCGCGCTCACACACACAAAGACATTACAATGAGCTATAGCTTTTAAAGAGGTGAGACTGAGAAAACGTTTCCTATTTCTGACCTCATGGCCAGTGTTTGGGAGTTCACTGTGAATATATCATGGAGATACAAGAAGGAAATCAACACGGCACACCAACATTCAGGTTTTAAAGACAGATGCTTATTTGGCATTGAGGCCGGCTTCACACCAGCAGTAGGGCCTGTGCGTTACATATCCTGCTTGTCAGGACTTTTCATTTTGGCTCTCGTGTAACTGGATTAGAGCTTTCACAAAGGCTGCGTGTCACGTGGGTCTCAGCCGTGGCTCGAATTGCCACTCTGCCTCATGCTATTTAGAGTTTTAGGGCTTTGTCTTCCCTGTTTTTTGTTTTCTATGTTGAATGTTAAATCATTGGATCTATATAAAGACCTTGTTTTGACTTCTTAAGTGAGAATCAAACTTGGCACACATTGAAGATTTCTGCCAAGAAGAATGGATCTAATGAAATACTATTGATCCCCAAGACATAATGTTGTACTCTGAATAGATGCTTTCTCTTTAAACATTTAAAAAGTACTCTTAGAGTTCAGATTTACTTTGTTCAATTGTAAGGTTAAAGTAGACTGATATGAAACAAGATAATCATAAATTAAAAAAATGCACATGCTTGATAAACCAGTTTGGGATACTGTAAGATGCTAAAATCAATACTCAAGTCAAGTTTTTCATTCAACAACTGTGACAAGTAAGCTGGGTGGAAAAAAAAAATTAAGCAGTTCCTAGCCTGGCAAGACATCTTAAATATGTGAATATACAGTCTAGTCTTGCCACGACCCATAATCAGAGCTCAGTCATGGGGCGGAATCTACAGTTGTCTTTTAAACTGTCTCCGCACGCTATTGGACCATGAATAACGCGATGTACTGACCGTAAAGGTTGTCAGCTAATGGGGCAGTCTGCCATACATGGTTGAAGAAAACGCAAATACATCCTTTTTGTAAATAAAGGACTTTTATACCTTTATCTGCTTTTGACTCAAAGAAAAGCAAAGTCTAAATAGTCCTAAGTTGATGCCAAAGCCATTTCAAACGAGCTGTTGCCAGCAGTGACATCCTGCCCATTAAACTGATTGAGCAATGTGACTGGCAAGACACAAAACTGCACAGGCCAATGGCAGACCTGCTGAGGCTATAATGGAGTATCTAGATCGACTGACCTCATTTTGCTTTGCAGGTTGGTCTAGAATTCTAGACTAAGCCTTTCCTGTTTTCTGCCATGTAAATGTTTATCATGAAAGATAACCTGTTCAAAATTCTGTAGCAATTGGAGGCACTACTGCTTATTAAACAAACAGTGGAAATAACCAAATAACACAAACAGCCAAATATATAGAGTCTGGTGTCACAATCAAACATAGCCTCTTTTAAGAGTGCTGCAAATGAGAGCTATAATAAACCTAAAGGTCTTGTTTCACCATTTCCTGTCCCAACACCCGACTAATTAAAAAATGCAGAGTGTGTGTGTGTGTGTGTGTGTGTGTGTATGTGTGAGTGTGTGTGTGTGTGTGTGTGTGTGTGTGTGGGGGGGGGGTACAGAAAAATGAAACCTCCATTGTTATTTCTGCAATTAATCATGCACTTTAGGTGTTTGTGCAGTGTAAAACATAAATGTGAAGTTGTGCAGACACAACGCTAAAAAATGTTTCACTTGGCTGAAGAAGTTTGCTGAAGGCATCAAGGAAATGCATCACCAGGATGTTCATGACACAGCATCGATTAACCCAGATCACGATGCTTTCTGCATTAGAAAAGAACATCATACCAGGAACATGGCTGCTTTTCCTTACAGATATATTGACCAACTTTTCTTTTCTTTAGCTAAAACATAAAGGTCTATTTCTCACACACATTTGATTGTTCTGTGCTTCAATGAACTTCATGAGCTTTTTTAACCAATTGATAATCAACACCAGATTGCAGTTACACCTGCTTTGAACACAAGGCAGATTAAAATAATTGCCTTTGTGTTACGTCTTGTGGGCTCTTTTGTGTTTTTTGCAGCACCTTCCATTATTGTCTGCCATCACTGTGCACACATCCGGTATGTCTTCATACTATATCTATCATCTTTCAGCCTATTTGTGTAATGCACAGCTTGGCCAGAGGTGATTACCGGGGATTGCACGGAGCTGATAGCTCCTGATGTGCTCTGTGCCTGCGTGACATATTTCTGTCAGGAAGCTGCTCACATTCAGAGCACCGGCTCGTTTGCATTTTTGCCATTTTGAGTGAGCCAAGCAGGTTTCAATGCTACTTGAAACAACAAAATTCCTCCCTGGGGAGTGTGCACGCAGGTAGCAAGAAAACAGCAAAAGCCCTGAAGGCTTAGTGGCTTCACAGCTTTCACAGCAAATGAACAAATGATCCCTTTGGCATCGAAGCAGCAGCAGTAGAAAGTGTTGCAACCACTTTCACACTGACATTTAATGATTATGTACCGGTACTATAGGAGTTCAGTGGTTGGTCGTACAACCCCTGGAAGGTAGGAGAAGTTGATCTGACCTTCCAAACATGAAACCGAAGGGCAATGTTTTGCTTCAGGGCTGTTACTTCCTTAGCTTAGACCTTTTTATAAGTGATGACAACAATAATTCAGGGTTTTGAACCATTTCATGGCACTTATTATGTGTGTTAATGCAACTGCTGATTTGTATACTAGATATAATCTATCATTATAAATCACAAATTAAACCTTCAACAATATTTAACTGGTTCAATCCTGAAAAGATGGGATTGGTAGTCGTTTTCTCAGTTGAATCATGTTTGCTCAGTTTAGGTCACACTTGGGAAATCTGTTTTATGTGTAAATACACTCTAATCCAAAGCATAAAGTTGTATCCATATTAGGAAAACTCAGGCAATATTAGATGGAAGACATGACTTATCTTTCTAAATACGGCACACATTTTCACAAAAAAACATGTTTTTGATATTCAAACCACAAACACAATTTATAATATATGATCCAGTGGGTTATAAAAATAAAGTATCTTTAATAGTTTCTCTGGTAATCTTCCACAAACACTTGCATTTTAAACAAACATTGAAAACAGTGTGATTCTACAAATGAGAAAATTTGATGGAAGTGATAGCTTTACAAAGACCTCACCATGATTGTACAGATATTTTGAAATGGGTTTCTACGGAAAGATTATAAACAGTTATTTTACCTGTTGTCAAGAATAGCCTCAGTTTAGATCAGGGGTGCCCAATCCTGGTCCTGGAGGGCTGATATCCAGCAGGTTTTAGTTTTAACCCAACTTTACACAACTGAATTCAATCAGCAGGTGATTAACAGGCTTCCGTAGAGCCTGATGAACTGCTGCACAGGTGATTCAACCTCTGAATCAAGTGTGTCGGAGCAGAGAAACCACAAATCCTGCTGGATAGCAGCCCTCCAGGACCAGGCGTGGGCACCCCTGGTTTTGAGAATTAAAGTTAAGTTTAATCACACAAAGTGGGTTTCCTTCTTCTTAGAATAACTCCAAACTCTTTTTTTTAACAAAAGTTCATGGAATAGCTTTTTTTTAATTACGTTTTTTTAAACAAAATGACAATCCGCACATTTCAGTCTGTGATGTAGGAGTTTAAACTCCTACATCGCAGACTGAAGTGTGCGGATTCTCATTTTGTTTATTCCACTTTTTGATCCAGCACCTTTTCCCGGACAAGCGGTGACTCCTTCTACTCTAATTAAGTTTTTTTTAAATCTCAGCACTTCAGCAACAAATATAGAAAACTGAGAACGTAAAAAATATATGTTTTTGCTGTAAATCACAATAAAGTTATAAGTAAGTAATCACATATGGCAGTGCAGATGAGCTATTGTTAGCAAAAAGTGCAAATGATTAACTGGTCCCATTGTGACTGGTAGTTAGCTCATCGTTCTGGCCAGAATTAAATTAAATTTCTCCAAATTGAGGTTATTTAAAGAGCTTTTTACAGCAAATTGTTAATAAACTTTTTTCAGAACATTATTCTCAAAACATGTAAGTTATCTCTTTTGAACCAGAATTTTGCTAATTTCACTGGAGCTTTCAAAATTTTCTCTGTAACGGGGAGTTACATAAGGATCCCGTCAGTTTCTAGCAATAAGCATTTTGCATGTAATGAAAAAGAGAACATTAAAAGCTCTAGATAAACTAATGTTTTCTTATTTGGTCTAGTTTTAGACTTTAAAAATAAATAATTAATCATCACACCTATTAGTTTTTTAGGACAAACCATTAATGAGTATTTTGATAAGATTTTGTAACTGCTGGGTTTAGAAAGATGCTTTTGTGAATGTAACTGGACACTTTATTTAGAAAAATAAATATATTAAGTCTCTACGGTACAACTTCCAAGTACAATCACTTTTTTCACAATATTTATAAAGGTGACAGCTGATTGAAAGAGTTGGATCATTTTTTAAAAACTGATTAAACAGGAAAAACTCTTAGGCCTTCATGTGTCAATTTCATGGACTTGCAAAAGTTTGATATAAAGCTGCAAAACACCCTTTACAATATTTACATTAAAGGTTGGAAACTTCATTTGTTGCTCTTGTTGCTTTGTTACAATGATTTTATGAAAATTAACCAAAACATAGGTTCCTTTGCCTCTTCTAATGACAGAAAGGTAAAGCCGATTCAGAGTGCTGGTATATTTTAGTGATAATGGTCTCATGGCAAAAACAAAAAGAACAACTTCATGTAAGAGGTGCATTTCTTACACTGAGATTTGTAAACATTCATGTAAACAGTGGTTTTTGGACATGTGGAGCGTCGCTTATCAAATGTTTGAGATCTGCCTGAGTTTTCTATTTACAAACTGTGCAGAGTCATTTTTCATTTTTAAAGGTACTTCCACATCTGATCTTTTCTTCCTGATCTTTTTAAACCTGTTGCAGCAGATGTAAGATGTGAGCACGACGACCACGAAGAACAGCCCCAGACACGTCACTGAGAGAACAATGAGCACGGGCCGACAGGGGAACAGCTCATACCTCTCAGGGCCATCTGTCATCTGGCCAGTGTACCAGGGCTTCTCCTCTATCTCTATGTCAGCCTCTCTGGTCAGCAGACTTTGGATGTAACTCTCATTACTCACTGTTTCATTGACAAAGAAGTTAACCATGACTGTTGAGAAAAGAGGCTCAGGTTGGCCATGATCGCTGACCTTTACCAGAAGGCTGTAAAGGCCCCTGTTGCTGAGCTCCCTCTTTAAGGTGATGTTTCCTGTATCAGGGTCGATGGCAAATGAACCCGGCTCACCGCCTTTCCTTTTAATGATGCTATATGCAATCACAGCATTCATGCCTGTGTCTTTGTCCACGGCGTACACCTCTGTGATTGATGTTCCAGGTGTTGTGTTAGGTAGCACTAGCATGTAAGACTGATTAGATTGAGGAAAAAGGACAATGGGTGGATTATCGTTTACATCCAATAACAATACGGTGACCATAGTTACAGAGGAGAGTGCAGGCTCCCCACCGTCGACAGCTTCAATCCACAGTTGGTACGTCCCTTGCTGCTCGCGGTCCAGAGATGTCCTGGCCCTCAACGCTCCTCGGCCTGTGTCTATCACGAAGATGTTGCTGCCATTGAGGATGGACAGGGCTACCCAGCCATTTTCTCCAGCGTCGGCATCTGTCACTGACAAGACACCAATCTCACCATAACCAGGGAAGTTCTCAGGGACAAAGAAAGTGAAGTCTTTGTTGATGAAACGTGGACTGTTGTCATTGCGATCCAGAACAGTCAACAATATTGTTGCAATTGACTCCCTCCTGGGTGTCCCTTGGTCTACGGCTCTAACTATAAACCGATATTTCTCTTTTTCCTCACGGTCAAGCGATGTGGCAACAGTGAGAACACCTGAGATCCGGTCAACAACAAAAATCCCAGGCGCGTCACCCCCAAGGAGGTAGATAACTTCCCCTCGACCTTCGCTGTCCTCGTCTGAAGCTTGTAGTTGAGTTAGAAAAGCGTTGGGTGGATTATTTTCCTCAATTACTATTTCCACTATAGACTGTTGAAAAACAGGAGCGTTGTCATTCTCATCCAAAACCTGCACTTTCAGAAAGGTTTTAATGACCAATCCTTGAGTGTTGTTAGTGACCACAATGAGCTCATAACTCTGTGTCTTCTCATAGTCCAAGGGTTCAGTGGTTTCCAGTAGGTATTCATGCTTTAGCTGCTGATATGGGACAAGTCTGAAGGGACCGTTCCCTTGCAAAAAACAATTCACCTTTTGGTTCTTGTCAATGTTTTTGACAGTAAAAAAAGCAAGTGGAGAGAAGGCTGGCTCTGACTCCTTTATCACCAGCACTCCTTCCTTTTCCGGCGCAATGTACCGAGGTATGACTGACGGTGGTCCAACAACCACTTTGATGATGTGGACAGTTACAGTTGCGACAGCAGGGATACATCCGGGGCCAATGGCCAGAACAGTAAGTTTGTAAAATGAGGCTGTGACCATGTCTATTTTCTGGGCTAGCTTGATTACTCCTGTGAGTTTGTCCAAATGGAACAAGCTCCGGGTATCCCTTGGCACACGTTCACTGTAAGCATAGCTGATCTGAGCATTAGCACCAAGGTCAGGGTCAAAAGCATGCAGATGTGCCAAATGTGCCCCTTTGCTAGTATTTCCATGCATAGTGACGTTAATTTGTGACTCTGTGAATTTGGGGCAGTTGTCGTTCACATCTGTGATGACAATTTTTAAAGTTGCTGCTCCAAGCAGGGGAGGGGTCCCCCCATCCTCTGCAATGATGTCAGTAATGTATTCATGCTGCGTCTCTCTGTCCAAAACCTCTGTCACAATGAGGAAAGGCGTCAGCTCACCTCCCTCGTTCTCCTCAACATCCAGTGTGAACAGGCCAAAGTCATTAACTAGCCAGTAGGTCTGAACTCCATTGATGCCCGAGTCCGGGTCAATGGCAGACTGCTCTACTGCGTAGCGAGCGTTGATTTGTGTGTTTTCTGGAATGAACAAAGAGATTTCATCCGTTGGAAACGTTGGCCTGTTGTCATTAACATCCTCAATAAAGATTTTCACTTTGATGAGCTGAAAGTACTGCTGAGGCAACACAATCACATCCAGTGAGAGGACACACGCCAGACCAACTGTGCTGTAAGGACATAGGGTCTCCCTGTCAATCTCCGTAGCAGTTGTGTAGATTTCCCCAGTGGTATTATGTAGGTTCACATATTGTTCGTTGACCTTCTTTTGCGAAACACTAAATAAAAAGGGGGGATCAACTGTGAAATCCAAATGTAAGTCCACTCCAATACCCCCAATGAAAGTCCCTTTGGGTAATCCTTCCTTTATCTCATAGATGATCTCTTTTGCTTGACTGAAGTTTGCTAGACAGGACAGGGGGGTGGTGTAGAGCAAGAGGATGTAGAATCCCTGGAATAGAAGAAAGAAATGTATATTTTAGTTTAACTATAAATATTATGTACTAAAAGAAGTACATATTGTTTTTTAAAAGATACACAAACCAACTGATATGTGTCTGTAACAGAAGAAAAGCTTACATATAAATGTAATAATACAATAAAATGATCTAAAACTTGTTTTTTTAGAGTTGTGTTATAGTTCATTTTACTAAAAAAAAGGGAGATAATAAAACTTACCCATGGTTTTCCTTTTTCTCTAAGTTGTCTGCTGCAGAACATATTTATATCCTGACCCAGCACTTTCCTCTCACAGCAGGAGCAGTGGTAGTGGAAGTAACCCGTGCATTTTGAGCTCTGAGCCGAGCAGGTCTCTGCTGAGTTCTATGCCTTATTTCATTCTGACTTGAACAAGTCATTCATCTCAGCGCTGGTGGAGGACACTCCCACCTCATGCAAATCAGTTCCCTGTGCTGACCAATCACAGATGACAACTAGTGGGAAATCTTGAGTTCACAGATTCCTCTTTCATGTGCGGTATCAAAGCACATCAATGCACACACACCTGCACATCACACAAACTCACCCATGTTGTTATAAGAAACTGCATACCTTGTGCTCCCGTGGCAGCGTGAAAGCTGAGCTCATGATGACACGAGTGACCGAGAAAGACACAAAATACCCAGAGCCAAGAGATTATTTTAATCCAGCAGTAGTTAAAACATTAGAAAAATGAAAGAAATGCACCAGATGAGCCAAAAATAAAGATCTGAAAAACGGATGTGATGTGTTTACACCTGCACATGACTACTTTTATGTGGGACTTTAAAAAATATGTTCACCTAAAAAAGATAGCTAGAAAGATAGATTGTAGAAATGTTTTAGAATGAATAAAGTGTATTTATATGTGTTTTCATGTGACGTAGATCCTAAATATAATACCAAAGAAAGGATGTGATCATAAAGCAAGCAGAGAGGAGAATGTGGCATCATAAGTGCTTGTGTGGTCTCACTCTGGATTGAGCCTCTAGCTAAATCAGCCCCCTAATCCCCATGTGTTCTAAATGCCAGGCCAGCTGTTTGCTGGGATTGGAAGCATACTGCTCAGAGAAATTGAGTGATTGAAGTTCTCTGGACAGGAGAGGATTGAGACTGTCACTCGCACTCCTTCTGTCTCATACTGTTTTTAAAATATCATCATTCGTTGAGATGAATCTTCTTCAGTTTACACTTTATTTTTTTCATGTTTTGGGTCTTTTTCAAGTTTTAAAGACATACTTTGACCTTTCCAGAAGATGTTTGTAAGGTAACTGAAAAAAAAGTCTGACAAATACAGCAAAATTATAAATCCATTAAGAGTTTTTTTTTGGGTCCATGCACCAAGATAAAACATGTTCCTGCAAAAGCTTGACAACATAGCAGGCCTGGGAGGCTTTGGAGCGTGGGAAAGCAGCAGATCAGGGAAAGTCATCTGAGAGCTGAACTTAGTTGCTGAGGCCCTGGAGTACGGTTATTTTAGATGACACAACTAAAATCTTTGGCTTGGTGGAAATTTGTTTTGCAAGATGATTTTCTTTTCCAATGGGAAAAAATGACACATGTCACAGACTGTTGTTGACCTCATGTCATTAACTGTTCATCGTGGAGCGAAACACCGCAGGGTTCGTTGTTTCGTTCTTTATGATTTCGAGCTATGCTTTACCCATTGATGTACTATGCAATTTAAAGTCTTCCTGGTTCAAAATTTTGTTTTAAAAAGCAACTAAAATCCATGCATTTGTCAACAAATCCCTCTATTTTGTCCAAAGTTTAGAGGTTTTTTTTTTTTGCAAAAAAGAAAAGAACATTTTATGAAAAGAGCAACCCCAGTCAAACAAAAAACTGAACTATCTGCTATTGTGAAACAAAAGGGGTCAACAGATAAAATTTTTGACTCATGTTGCAGCCAGTTTTGCCCAGAGAACACATTTCCCATCAGGAGAAGAAGTGGATTTCATTAAAAGGAAGCAAATTCTGGAAGCAAATACCAGGACCTCCATAAAAAGGCATGTGCTGAAGGCAGCTTTGCTTCTGCAGCAGGATACAAACAAAGTCTTCTGAATACTTTAAAATCCACATTAGAACATCTGAACTTGAACTGAACTTCTTTGCTTTCTCTGCACACTGCCCTTGGAGCACTTTTATTATGGTTGGGTGAGAGGAGGAATGAAAAAAGAAAAATTCTTAAAGGTGTAGATTATGTTGGAGTCAGACTAATAGAGTTGGCTATAAAATTAATATTTAAGCTGCAACCTTTGTTGCACACCACATCCTTCCAAACATGTCCCGGTGGTGTCTTTGGAACTGGTTTTGGTTGTTTTAAAACTTAACACGCATTTGACAAAAGTAGCCTTGATCAGAACAATGAATTAATCTAATATCATCAACTTCTTTTGTTTATTTTAATAAAATTATTCAGAAGTGCCAGGAAAAAGTAAAACCTACAACTCAGGGTTACCGGAGGAAAGAGGTCAAGGTCAAAAGGCAGCATTACTTTGGTCTTAATCACATCAGTTGTTGCTGTGCGTCAGTGTGAGATGAGACTGGGTAATCGTTGAGCAGATTTCCTAACAGATGTCTTTTTAGTCGTCGTCTTTCTGTTTAATCAAAAGGCTTCTAAGCTATGGAAATAGCAATAAGGCAGCTTCATGGCAAGAGAGTAAGGCGAGCGTAACAAATCAGCAGACATTGTGTATGAAGAACCAGTCACAAGATATCTGAAACTTTTCTACTTTTGTTTTTACCAAGTGTCACAAAGTGTAACAAATCAACTCTGATTGTTGTGAGTAACAAAACAGCAGGAAGACTTTTGAGCAAGAAGGGAATTTGCTTAAAGAGCAAGTCACCCCCAAATCAACTTTTCTTGCTGATAAACTATATAAATGAGTGTCTAATCATGTTGTAGACACGTACAGTCAAAAAGTTGGCACTTTAGTGCATTTTACTGAAAATTTAAATATTCTGCCTAAAACTGTCAGTGTTGCACCATCCGCACTACATTTGAATTCAAATCTGCCATTGCTATTGGCTAAGAGGTGCCGTTAGCTCCTACCATATGATGTCACAATGCCGCTGTGAGCCTGTGTGTGTGTGTGTGTGTGTGTGTGTGTGTGTGTGTGTGTGTGTGTGTGTGTATTTGCTAGCGGCTCCACCCTCTCGGTCTGTCAGGCAACGCCTCCTTGTAGCACATTTTTCAAAGAGGAAATGAGAGTGGAGTTAGTGGAGTAAGGGGTAACTTGCTCTTTAAAGAAGGGCATGGAGAAATATTTTTTACTTATTTTTTCAAATGATCAGTCACTAATGTGAAAATAGTCTCCTACACCTATCTGCTGCATTAGCTTCTGACAGAAAATAGACGGGAAGCCGCTCAGTTGAGAAAAGCCTCCCAGGTCAACATCACACTGTCATTTAACATTTATGGACTCACCCATCTTGGCTCGCGACGGGGAAGGCTGTTGTTGGTTTAGCTTCCTGAAAACAGAGAGAGAACGTCTCGGCTAGAAGAAGCTAACTGTTAATATTAGCAACTCCACCACATGGCAGAACTCTGTCAGGCTTGTGTTATTCTCAGAGATAAAACATCAACGAAGTCAGTTGCATTGCTGCATCAGAGGGAAGATGTCCAAATATCAGGAAACAAGACTCCAAATCCTGTCGTGTTCAACCACTTTTTCCTCCGGCTCACTTGTACGTTCTCAAAAAGAGCATCCTGAGGAAGACTTAGCAATCATTCCTACTAGAGACAACTGCCATTGTACAAAAAAATATGAGTATATTTGACTTTTAAATTGGAAAATATTTGATTTGACATATGATCATTGAGGATAAATGTAATTTGGTGACGTTAAGCTGTAAAACTAATTTTGAAACAAATTCAAGTATATTTTTTGCGGTGGGCCCTCAGGGAACAATAAATAGAAATAAATCTTTTGAATAAAACCTAAATGATCACTCAAAAGAAAGAGTTTGTCATCACTAAAAGCAAATCCCTCCATGGGAAACTTTACAAACCAAATCAGTATTATTCTTTATTGTTTAAACTTGATCGTAAGAATGAGAATAGAAGTTGATCCTAAAAGCATTGTGTCGTCAGATCAGCCTGAATCAACCCTGTGCTACATCACCTGTGTTAGCCCCCCTTGAGCCAATCAGTGTAAATGTATGTTACTTAGAGCACTGGCGTGCTGCTCTACTCTCTAAACAGGAAAGCCTGATGGGTAATATATTGTGTCATTTAGAGCAGATTACCTCTATTTACACTAATTGCTGTCATTTTGAGATTGCCACAAACCAGAGGTTGTTACAATTTACTTTGTCAGCTTAAACTGCTGCCTCTGTAGACTACATATTCAGCCGAGCTGGGCTACTAGGAAATGTTTGTGGTGCTCCCAGTAAGTGATCTGCATTAGAAAGCTTTTCTTTTTTGTGTTGCTGAAGCAGTCAGACCTGGACCTGGTTATTATCATAGGGACTATAATTACTGCAGTCAAATGAATGTTTAACATTATGTTTTGTGCAGTGGGTGCATTCAGTATGACGGAAATCCTGTAGGTCTACATATTCATGGTGGGCGGAGCAAAGAGTTCACATTTGATGTTTGTTTTAGGGATTTATTCACCTTCGAAAGCCCTGAAAGCAGAAGATTATTTCTTAAAATTAACCTGATGCACAACTAGCAGGCTTTAAATGTTATGAACCTGTATATATATATATATATATATATATATATATATATATATATATATATATATATATATACATATATATATACCGTAAATCCTCTGATATTGGCCTGTATTAACAGCCGGGTATCATACTTTGGCCGGTGTTGGAGTCGGCGGAGAAGAATAATGGCCGGTATCTTATTGTGGCCGGGTGGAATGTTGTAACACGCAAGTACCATGGGGGGTGGGGGGGTGGGGTGGGGTGGGTGGGTGGGTGGGGGGGGTGGGCGGTGGGGGTGGGTGGGGGGGGGGTTGGAGGGGTGGGGGGTGGGGGGTGGGGGGGTGGGGAGTTATGTCATCCATCTCACTTTTGATTTGCCAGCGACAGACCGCGATTTGGCAGGTGCGGAGACGAAGAGGAGGCGAACATTTGATATCAAGTTCAAAGAGAACGTGCTGATTCTGCTGCAGAACACTCTGGGGAGCAGTAGCAGGGGTTGTATGAACTAGTCACTAGTCAACTTCACTGTAGTGACTTTTTATGCCTGTCATCGACTAGCCGCTGTCACGTGATAATGACCGGCAAGATGCAGCCCTCGGAAAAGACAGCAGCCTGCTGTCAGCAGGTGACAAGCTCCTGCGCGTCGGGAGGCAACGCGCTGTGCCAGAGCGTCGGTACTGACACCCGCCGTAAAACGGACATTTAACCAAATTGTGACC